GCCATGACGTACTGACATTTTCGGATATTATTTAGCTTCCCACCTTTCCGGATTGTCGATTGGCATGTCTAAACTATGGGTCGCCATGGAAACACACTGGGAAAACGCACCTCCCTTGACTGCTCTGACATGGCTTCATCAACGACACAACCCCAGGCACATCACCACCCACCCCTTAATTGGAGCATCCCTTCAAGAATTCACCACTCAGTGGAGACGGGGCACCCTCACGACACTGGACGGCCCCATGACTCCCCTGAACCATAACACTGATTTTACCCCAGGCTCCACAACGCAGCACCTTCCTCCACAAAGAGGACCTAGCTCCCCTCTCTAAAACAGGACAGCTTCCTTGGTGGATTTATCTGCAAGTCAGGCACTACCTTAATAACCCAGCAAGAAAGGGTGCCTTTGCCAGAGACATGACCAGCTTTGAAAAGGCGTGCTCTGGCTAGGGCCCCTCTCGACACCTCATATCATGGATTTATGGCCTAGTATGTCCATCCAGACCTACTCGCACCGACACCTTAAGCGTAACCTGGGAGCGGGAGCTAAACCAAGAGATCCCAGTAGACACTTGGGAATCAGCGTGCTTGGGGGCACACAAAAGTTCAGTGAGCTGTAGGACTCAGGAAACCAATTTCAAACTCCTCTCACGATGGTATAGAACCCCAGCCCTCCTCCACAAATTTGACCCAGCAATACCAGAGGCTTGTTGGAGATGCACCTCGGCACGAGGTACACTCATCCACATCTTCTGGGAATGTGCCCTTCTCCAACTTTACTGGAGACGGATCCACGATATTATCGCTCAGATCATGGTGGAACAGCTCGCTTTTAGCCCAAGTACCTACCTACTTCATATCCGAGAGGAAGAGAATGAGGGGCCCCACAAATCTCTCAGTAAGCATTTGATTAATGCGGCTAGATCAGTCATACCGAGACTGTGGAGAGAGGCACGGCCCCCGTCTCTCACCGAATGGATCACTCAGGTAAATTACATCTCTGAAATGGAAGAACTCCTATTTATCAACCTAGATAAGGTGACCAAATTCTCTAGACTATGGGCACCATGGACACATTTCTGCCTAGGAAAGGTATACGAAGAACTCGCACGTACCACCGCTTAGCAGACTAACATACACGTAAATTACCTACCGATCCTCGGGGAACACATTTTTGGTGTGGGGATGGTGCGCCAAATGGAATTATGCCCATGGCGACACGTTTTAGGTCCCCCCCACCACGACGCCCCATTCTCTAGCCTACCCTAGGGTTCTCTGTGGTTTTACCAAGGAGGACTCTAGACCTTCTACCTTCCATCTCTGCCACCTCTATATTACTTTGTGACCCCCCCTTCAATGTCTGTGTTGTCTCATTACTTGTTTCCATCTACCTGAGGTTAATTTCACTGTTGGAGCCCAAATGTATGGCATGTAGGGCTGAGGTCAGCGCCCTGAAGGACCATTCCAGCTATATACCCACCTCGTTGACATATTAAGTGGACAGTTGGCTCTTTAGTTCTAGACCTGCTGATGTTTTGAGCGGGACCAACCAACAACACGGTCCGCCCAGTATTGGACTATACAGTATGACATCCTATTTGTTTGCTTGTTTTGCGGCGTGTTGACGAAAAATGTGATATGTTTGATCACAATACATGTCTGTTTTTTTTCTTTTCCTATGTTCAATAAAATAAAAATCTTAAATGGAAAAAAAAAGACCCAATAATTCGCAACATGGTGGAAACTAGGGTCCTGTCTTGTTGGGGGAAAGAAGAACTGACAGCAGAGAAGTTACGTAAGAAGAGTGGGGCAGAGGTAAGGGGTAAAAGAAAGAGTGAAAAAAAGGGGCTGGAGGGGAGCCCATGGAGAGGGGGAGGTGAGTAGAGATAGTGGAAGGTAGGGCTTCTCAACCCCACTTGGAGAGCAGGCCCAAGAGGGTAATCAGAAGACTCGTCCAGGCACATCCTGCAGTACTACATTGTATTCAGGAGAAAGTGTAAATTCCTGCAAATATAACCATTTGGTACAATGTTTATCATGCATACCTGTGTCGAAAGAGATCAAGTCTTTAATGCATTCAATCTCACTGACCTTATTAAGCCACATAGACACTGAAGGGGGCTTTGCTTGCCTCCACAGTTTGGGTATACAACTCCTGGCTACGTTAAGCTAATGAGGTAGTAAGGATTTTTTATGTCTTCCTGGAAATAGAATTATAGTGTATCAAGAAAAAAGGTGGGTCCCACGGTGCGTCTAAGAGCAGCTGGCTGGACACAATGAGAGGATGAGCAAAGCTTTCAGCAGGCAGTAGAGAATGTAGAAAGTGCGACAGTTGAACCATCCACCAAAAGCCTAATAAACTAAAAGGTTTATCCAGAAACTCAGTTAACCCGTTCCTCACAAATGAGGTTTACTATTGGCTATATTCAACAACCCATAACTAGTCTTGAAACTAGGGAGAAAAAAGGGGACATTGATCTTGGAGAGAAGGATCAGGTCATAGTAGTTATAAAGGGGTCAGAGTAGCCAGTTATATACAGTATAAATGCTTTATGAATAAAATCCACTTGACACCAAACCCCCACCTTTCTGGCAATTAAAACAATAATATGGACAACGTTGTCTCACTCTCATACGACACTCATTCATGCGTGCAGGCTGCAACTGTTGCCGGTGGAGCTCAGAATGCAAAGGGAAAGAAAAGAAAAAAGTATCCAGTGTATGGCTCTTCAGAGTGCACAATAAATAAACATTCTGCAGAACAAAGTAGATCCTTTCATCCAATGTAAGATTGTAACAAAGAGGCAGTCTCGTATATGATACAACAAGATCTACGGCTCTAGAAAATGCTGAAACCGGAAAGCACACTTTTGTTTTCCTGCGACTGAGATAATTAATGAATAGCTTAAATCTTAGTAGGCAAACCGTTATGGATTTCATGGATAGGAAGTCAGGTCCTGTTGTGTGCTCAAACGGATAGCAGATTGTTGAAAAATATATTCTCTTTTAAAGTGCACTTTGTGATCTCTTTTGCAAAATTAGCCGCACATTTATAATCCAATGCCATATAAACCCAAACGCCGATTCTTGTCTAGAAAGCCCGGCTAGGACATCGTCTCTTGATTTTAATTGATGATTTAAATGCAATATAGCACATTTCCAGAGACAGTCCAGGAACACCTAGAGAAGTACTCACGGTTGTAGACTCATGCATTAGCTGCTGGATCACTCGATGTACTGAAGCATTAGTTTTATCCAGTTTATAGATTTACTATATATCTAGGATTACCATATGGTTGCATCTGTTGAGTATTGCATTCATCTTTTGCTGAACACCAGCTTAGTATGGCTTAGTTTGCATGGGTAAACTGCAGCTCCATCTGCTGGCTTTACTACCTGACTCTCAGGTGTGTTCTCAGCCTTACGCCCTCTGCATAATGATGACGCGTTTCGCTCCTCCCATTCCCCCGGGGCTTCGTCAGAACGTCAAATTGCACATGAGATATCTAATGTCTAAGAGCAGCTGGCTGGACACAATGAGAGGATGAGCAAAGCTTTCAGCAGGCAGTAGAGAATGTAGAAAGTGCGACAGTTGAACCATCCACCAAAAGCCTAATCCAGTCAAGCTATCATTGGCCACTGATTGCTCCCTATCTGGCCACTGCCTGTTCTCTAAGATTACCCCTTTCCCAATTTTATTTTATTTTTTAAAGTTTTTCTATTACACATACTTAACAATCTAGTCTAGAACAATCTGTGGTATAGATGTTTTGTTGCTTTTTCAAATAATTATACTGAAAGTGTAGACTATGAGCTTATATGACTAGACTGTTTAAGTACCTCTTTTCTCTGAGTTCCATTATTATCTAATTGTGTCTATATTAATGTGTCTCCACAGGGACACAAGCCGCAAAATGGGTTTTAACCCTTCTATACTCTAAAACAAACAAAAAACATTTTTGATTTACACACACTCTGAGAATTTCTGAGACCCTCTACTTCTGCCTGGACAACGTCATGTATACCTGTTCCATGATTCATTCTCCATGGGAAAACAGTAACTAAGTACTAACTGAAAGCTGAACTTCAGCCAGCTACAACAAAAACACCAATTCAAGCTGTTCACTAAAAATCATTAAGGGCCCATTTACACATTTGCATTGTGGCAACACACCTGTTCTATGGTGGTTCACTTTTTCATCTGTTATGGTGCATTGACAGCCCATTCATAATGAATGGGCAACCATAATGCAATGTACCAATACGGAACGCCTAAGTGTAAATGGGTCCCAAGTGTATTTGTAAAATCATCTAGTGTAAGAATCTGACTTGGTATTAGCCTTTTGCAATACCCTGAACAGCTGACATCAGATTTGTGCTTTTCCAGGAGAGGAAGAGTAAAGCCCCTTTCACATGGGTTGATCAGGAGGGGATCCTTCTGATCGGAGCAGTACGGATCAGATGTCACCACTGTGACATCTGTGTCCATCCAATTGTTTCTTACATCTTGCAATGGAGGAAAGAGCTAAAACTGCTAGACCCACATGTTGGTCTATGGAGAGTCGGGTGTAAACGGAGATTTCCGTTTACATCCAACATATCCGTATACAATAGAATTACCCCTGATCCGGTACGATTAGGTCCAGTGAAACAGAACTCTGTTCTTTTTCTTTTCTCTGACCTGGCCGGAGCTAGGGGTGACCGGGTGTGCACGGACGCCCGTCCATTTAGACGCAGCTGCTTATAGACTAACATTGGGCATCCAATCGGGTCTGCCGGAAAGACTGACAGATGGGACCCGATCAAATCACCCTTGTGCAAGGGGCCTTAACCATACTTGTACTATTTCAGTCTGCCAGGCACATTTCAAGAGAAACAGCAGTGATCTGCAAAGTTTTACCCTGCCCATTATTCTACCTTTCTATGGCTAGCTTTACTCTTTCTTAAATCCTTAATAATCACAAGATGTCAATGATATACATTCTTTTTTCATAGATTTAAATGATAAAAAGGATGATGGAGTTCACCTTCCAATCATATACGGTATAGGTAAGTGTGCTTGTATTTATAATAAGTGCCCTATAGATTTTATATAAGATTAAAGGAATTCACCTTTTCATAATTTGTTGTTTGAATAAAACTGTTATTACAGGCAGAAATGTATTTATAGTAACACAACATTATTATAACATTTCAAATATTTGAAATGTACACATACCATCATACATTTAAACATTTTGTAGGTTTTGTATGCTGTACAACGGGAATATTGCAGCATTCAGCAATGTATGAATGTATTTGTATCTTTTGTGGAGCAAATCACATTGAAACATTAGGAAAAAACTGTTGGCAAAGACACATAAGATATGAATATTGGTGTGGCATTCCCTTACCAGCAGCAATTGCTTCTTGCAAAAATCATCATCTCACTCACCCCCTCACTGCTGCTGTATATTACACTCAGTGGTGCTGTGAGAGGTTAAAGGAATCTAGGAAGTAGCTGAGGGGAGTGGACCAGCACACAACTTTTAACAGCAGTGGTTGACGGACTCCTCTCCCATTGAGTGTAATATATAGCAACTGTGAGGAGGGTAGTGAAAGATGATTGCTGCAGCACTGTACTAGACATTTGTAACAGCCACCCCGAGTACCGCTGGCCAGGTGGATTAGTTGCATTGTGATGAGTACTTCATCCTTCCTGGTGCACCAGTTTAGCGCTTAACGCTCCTTTAGCAGTGCCTTTATTTTGCTGTGTCAGCATCTACTAAGCTGTTGCAATATGTTGGTCACTAACAAGAGGACCACTAGTTCCATTGTGACTGGGAAGCATCCACCTACTCTGATGTCCTCAGATTGTACTAGACTGGAGTCCCTAAATGCCCTACATCCTGTTTTGGTGGCAGGTTTGTATGTCAACTTGTCTCACACAGCATACACAGGAGAAGGGGATTGTTTTGGCCTTAATCAGCACAGTCTGTCATCCGACCAGGCAGAAGAGCCTAGCCTTTCCTTTTGCAATGAACTTCTGTATAATGCTTCTAACTGCTGACCAAAAAGATGTAAGTAAGGGCCAGGATATTTGGGGAAGCTGATCTGTCATTACAACTGGGCGGAGCCAGCTGTGAGATAACAGCTGGATCCTTCGGCTCTTTAGAGAATGAACCCCTTAGAATTCTTTTGTGGGATTTTATCATTATAGAAGTAGATTGGTTACTGCTCCAGATTCTAACAGCTTCTCTCTTCAGTTTGTTCTGTTAGACTTTTAAAATGAAAGATAGAAGCTGATTGGTTGCCATGCACAGCTGCACCAGATTTTGTCTGCTCCAGTTTTGATAAATTCCCCCCAGTGTGTTTTACAGTTGCAGTCTTCCAGTCCTCTAGTTCTAAAGTAGAGGTGCACCGAAATGGAAATTTTGAAACCGAAATTAAAAAAAATGTCAGGCCGAAACCGATACCAAAAATGTTTTTTATTTTTTCAATTTTTTTAAATATTTTATTTTTATAAACTTTTTAATTTTTTATATTTACTTTTATTCATTTTTTATTAAATATTTTGATTTTTTACTTTACTTTTAGGGGCTTCGGGGAAATATTAGGGGTCTAAACAGACCCCTGATATTTACCTTTTAAAATAGAAAAAGAGATTGAGAACACAGAGTCCTCAATCTCTTTTTCTGTGTCCCCTGTTATCAATGAACAGGAATCCTCTATACTGAGTGTTCCTGTTCATTGATAACATGAGAACATTGTTTGTTTACTATAACTACAATTATGAATGAATGGGGGTGATGTAGATGTGATGTAGATCACTCCCATTCATTCATAATTGAGGATATAGTTAACATACCATATCCTCAATTATGTACACACACTCAGCGATCACTGATCACTGAGTGTGTGTACCTTGCTTTTCTCTCTGACATGCTGTCACAGGAGGCTGATCGAGCGGTGTAGAGAGGAGAGCCCAGCCTCCTGTGACAGCGCTCTGCCGGACTGTCACAGGAGAGCCCAGCCTCCCTCGCACCGCTCTGCCAGACTGTGATAGGCGGCTGAGCGGTGTGGGAGGAGAGACGCCGGCGCTCACAGCGCTCTCGTCTGCAGCGCTCGGCCGGCTGTCACTTTCTTTTCTCCCCGTTGGAACAGCGCCCAGCGGGGAAAAAAGATACCTGGGATGCGCTGATGTATCAGCCGAAACATGGCTCTTTCGGCATTATGCCAAAAGTGCCATTTTCGGCCGATATATCGGTGCATCCCTATTTTAAAGAATAAGCATGATGATTTTTCCTGACACAAAATGCACAGGTTCTGAAAAGTGTTTCTTTATGTGAATGAACCATGTCTTTCTGAACTAAAAAAAATCAGTCCCAGATATGTCTTACTTTTTTTTTAATTCAGCAGTAAATGTTAAAACAGGAGAGATTTTCAAAGCAAGATTTGAAGACCACCAGCCAGATGAAGATTTAAGATTAGCATACATCCTGGCAGGAGGAAATGTAAGAGTAATGATCTTGAAATATCAAGGTGTTTGCAAAACATATGCACCATGTATAGAAAATGATCTCAAACGCAGGGACCTCCTATCCTTCTTGTATTTACCTGTATTGTAACTGTCCCCCCTATATATTGTAAAATGTAAACTGTTAGCGCTATATAAATCCTGTATAGTAATAATACTATAATACTATAATAGGAAACACAGCCTACTAGCTCAGTCAGGGGCTGACTGGCAACTTTTGGCCCAGCACTAATTAACATATCAGCGCTAATAGGGAGAGAAGGGATCATGGCATGTCAATTTGTTTTAACATTGGTTTAGTATTCAGATCAGGCGGTCATTATGACATTTTGTCATTCTCACTACCTTATCTGTGGCTATAAGTGACAGCTGATCCCAGCATATACTGGGATCAACTGTCATTCAGGGCCATCAGAAGCCCTGCGCAGCTAATTAGAGCCATCACTAAATGCTTCAGAGCAACAGCATTCAGTAACAGCTCTGTACATGCTGAGATCTTATTGATGCCAGCATGTATGGCCTGCCTATGAGTGATAGGAGTGTGACTGTTAACAGCAATCACACTCCATTAACTCTCAGACAGCTAGTGCACAGCAGTGATGTGCAATGAGGTCAGTGGCAGGTGAGGCACCCCCAGCCTGCCCCCCGCCACAGGCACATTTACCAAGCTATGTATTCATCTGCCCGCGGTGACTGTGACCGCTGCGACCTGGTAATTCCACCACTGTAACCCAGCAATACATTATACAGCAATGCAGAATAATGCCATGAGCTTTAGGGGACTACAAAGCCCAGCAATACAGTATGCAGCAATGCAGAAAAATGCCATCAGCTATAGTGGACTTCAAATCCCAGGAATACATTTTACAGGAATACAGAATAATACCACCATCTTTAGAGGACTACAAATCTCAGCAATTCATTATAGTATAATGTAAAGCAGCAGCTATAATATATATATATATATTATATACATATAATATATACACACACACACACAATTGGTGGGGGGTATGATTGTGCTGATCCATTCCTGCTGCATGAAGTGCGTAACATACTGCTCCTCTGTAGTCAAATTACATGCAGCTCACCCTGCTGCTTCAACACGCTTCTGTCTTATTGGTCCCTGTAAAATGATCAATTGTGTATTTTCCTGGAGCCAAAATATTATTGTTTTTGTAAAGGTTCAGGCCGAAACTGCTATGTAACTAATGTGGGTTTATAGGAGATGGCTGTTTAAAGTGTACCATGAACTTTAGTTTTTTTTATGTCAATGAAATGTATTAGCACTGTATATTCAATAAATTCTTTTTTATGGAAATACTATATTAAGTTATAGGCTCTTGGACCACTGAGAAAGCCCCAATAACATGTTTTATATATAGGAGAACTACGGCTGCAACTAACGATTATTCTCATAATCAATTAGTTGGCCGATTATTTTTTCGATTAATCAGTTAACCAGTTGACATCCGTGGTGTTAAACCCCCTTCCCATCCAGGCCATTTTTCAGTATTCAGCGCTGATCTGTTATTTTTTTTAATTTCAGAAATGGAGTGTTACAAAGATTACTTTAGAATAAAACTGCATGAATAATTTTTGCAATTTTGCAGTATCGTGCTCTCCAGTGCGGGCGATCACACTGCGGGTGGGAGGCGCGTTTGGGGTGCAATTGAAATGAATGGCACTGCAATGCAGCAGAATTTGTCAGGCCGAAACCAAAAATTACTTTTCCCACCTTTTTAAAAAAAATATTTGTTTTAAATGTATGTTTTATATTAGACATTTAACTTGGTTTCATGGATTTAAAATAATATGAATTGTAAAAGTCCAATATAATAGCCAAACTTTTATTTAAAATAAATAAAAGCCCGGTCATCAATTTAGAGTTAGCCATGAATATTGGTTGGAAAATTTTTGCTTTCACTCTGGTGCATGTGGCGATAACTGAGATGTGTAGCACAATCATCGTTTTCATACATAGGTGCACCCGACTTGTGTTTCCATTAGTATGCGTGCGTTTGCGTGGTTGGCGGACTTGAAAATTGACGGACTTGAAATACTCTTGGGAGTATTTTTAACTTTATATAACTTTTTTTATTTTACCTTTTTTAACTTCATTGCTATCACATGGGGGGCTCACAAGCCCCCTATGTGATAGCACATTGGAGGTGACAGGTTCTCATTAATGTGACATTAGGGGGTCTATTAGACCCCTGGTGTCACCTTTCCACTTCACTGGGGAATGACAACTGCCTGCTGAGACAGCTGAATGTAAATGCAGCATGCAGTAGCTGGGAGCAATAGCCAGCCTCCTATTGGCTATTTTAGATTGCAATAGCAAGCTGCCTATTGCACCCATCCACTGCCTGCTGTCAATCAGCAGAGTGGGGGACCTGAAGGAGAACGTTCTCCTTCAGATCCTCCTCTGCTGATTGACAGCAGGCAGTGGGCGGATACAATAGCCAACCTGCTATTGTAATTTAAAATGATAGCAGGCTGGCTATTTCTCCCAGCCGCTGAATAAGAAACTTGACGCCGGCTTTATACCGCCGGCAGAAGAGGGGGCAGCAGAGGAGGATCGTGGGCACGGGCAGCAGAGGAGGATCGTGGGCATGGGGGCAGCAGAGGAGGATCGTGGGCATGGGGGCAGCAGAGGAGGATCGGGGGCATGGGGGCAGCAGAGGGGGATCGTGGGCATGGGGGAGCGGAGGCACAGCAGACACAGACCGCAGGATGCAGCAGCTCCCAGAGAGGAGGAGAGAACAGTGGAGCAGAGCGATGGCGGCAGCATCTAATCTAAAATCAACTAATCTATAATGAGAATCATTGGCAACGATTCTCATTATCAATTATGATCGATTTTATTGATTAGTGGTTTCCGCCCTATGGAGAACATACACCTGCTGTGCATGGATTGCAGGGATCTATAGCAGATAAAGCAACAGAATGCTCTTCTTTAAAACACTAATAAGCACCGACCAACAACTTGGGTGGAGCAGCAGGATGAGCATTACATTACTATGCGGATGTCAACTGGTTAAAAAAGAGAAAAACATACCACTTTCTAAATTATTCCACACTAAAATTGTATTTCACTCCTTGTATTTTGTGACCTATGGGTTTATGGGTTTGGATGATATAAAGGTGGTATCCTGGAATGTCCGAGGGTTGAATAATAAATTTAAGAGGTCCTTGGTATGTAACTATCTTAAACACAGAGAGCGCCTCCATTGCGTAAAATCTTTTTAATAAAGCAAACTACCGGGGCAGGGGCTGTCTCAGCATTAAAGTGCCAATAGGAGAGCATGGCCGGGTATACCTTCTCCACCACCCTCTCCTCGCCCAGCCATTCCGGGGACAATCTCCAGTGCCCCTGCCTCCTCCCTCCAGGCACCGAGAAAACTAAGCAGAGTGGGACATGGTCCGACAGACCACCAGGGAGGTACGAGGCTCCAGAGATCATGCCCAACATGGTCTGATTGCCAAATGCCATATCAATCCGGGCCGAGGAGCCATGAGTATGGGAGATGTGTGAGTAAGCCTTGATCCCAGGGTGTTTCCACCGCCACACTTCCTCCACCATAGCAGTCTCGGCCCAGGATTGTAAGTCAACACCCACTGGTCTGTTAGGATTAGATGAGTCTAGAGAGGGGTCCAAGATATTATTAAAGTCCCCCGCGATAAGAACCGACAAGGGGAGGTACGGTGCAAGTTTTTCAATGTTGGCATGGAGAGCTGGTACCTGAAATGGCAGGTATATATACACTGACCACAGCTATGCGAGTGGCCTGTATATCCAAAATGACAATTGCACTTGTGGCTGAGTAATGCTGTAACTGAGGCTAGATAGTATTACAATGATAGCACTGTTATCCTTCAAATGTAGTCATTGTTATTAATTCTTTGCTACGATTTCTGTGTGATAACCTATCTAACTATATGGACTGTCAGGAGGTTTTTCAGTCTTTGTTCTCACAGGTTTTAACCCCTCCAGTTACTTGTCTAAAGCTTTTAACCAATTGTTTTAACTTCTACTAATCTAGTGGTTCTCAACCTGTGTAACCTCAGGACCCACATTTGTACTTGGTCATTAAGTCGCAACCCAAGTTGCACTGCAATGGAATGCAAGACATTGCGGTACTGCACGTTCCAGTGAGGGTGATTGAACTTTGGGCAGTAGTTGCGCTTGGGGTGCCACATATTCAAATGAATGGCAATGCAACGCACCTCCTGCACCAGAACACATAGTAGGTGCGATTGCGTGGTACAATGCGTTAATGACACAGGACTGTTCAATTAACTCACTGTACTAGTGTGAACGGGCCCTCAAAAACACTGACAGACACACACAACCACAGACACAATCTTACACACACTCAAAAAGAAAAAAGTTATTTGTTTCTTTTTATTTTAAGATCCACCCAGTCTCCCTACCTTATGGGAACTGGAATGGATCCTCAGCCTGAGGTCCAGTGTGGGCTGCTGTGCAGTGATGGAGCTCCATGCATTGCTTTGCACACCCTGTAGAGACGCCAGGAGCCAGAATGTGACATCACTCCAGTCCAGGCACCTCTACCGGACATGCGAGGGAACTGTAAGCAATTCTCGTTTGGATGGAGTTCCCTCATGGCCATAGCTCCAGCCCACCCCATCTCAAGCTGGCACTCAGGGCCAGGCAGCTTATTCTGAATGGCTGCTTGGTGCGAGAACGGACATTGCTGCGCTAGAGGGAGGTTGAGGAGCCTCTCAGCTAGAAAAGTGGAGAGCATGCAGCGACCCACTGAACAGGGGTTCGCGACCCACTTTTGGGTCACGACCCACCAGTTGAGAACCAAGGTACTAATCTAAGATCATTACAGGTCTCCCCGTTTTTTCATCTAATTTTATACAGGCTTTTTATACACTTTTTAACCACCTCCGGGCCGGCCGTAGTAAAAAAACGGCCGGCCCGAGCTCTCTAGATCTGAGCGGGCG